GTATGCCCCGGTCGCTCCCAGCTTCTCTTTCCCTAACCTATCTAAAAAAAACCCATTTGTGTTGGGTCCATAAATCATTAACTGGCAACAACTTTATGCTTTCCCTCCAAGATCTCACATAAAGAAAAGCATGTTATGTCATGAACCAAAGTATAAAAATTTTCAAGAGAAGGGAAATAATATTTAGAATCTCCTCAATCCATTCCATATAAATGGGGCTGACCCTAAAGCATACTGTGGGTTCCAGCTCTCCTGCTCTCTCCCTACTTTCCTGGTAGAGAGGCCAGGATATACAGTAAATGAAAGTCTGGAGACGAAGAGACACCACAGATGTGCAGAATAAATAATAATATAACAGTAACAACCACCACCATGTACTGGGTGCCAAAGGCCAAGCACCACCCAAAGCACTTTATGTGAATTATCTTTTTTAACATTAGCATCTGTGAGTATGTGCTAATATTAGCGGTCCCAGTTTACAAATTAAAAAACTGAGATGAAAAGATATTAATGTGCCCAAATTCCCACAGCTAACAAACAAGTGGCTGAGGGTGGCAGAGGAGACTATTTCAGAGGGACCAGAGCATTTTGAAGGCGGGAAACCTTCGATTAGCAGACATATCCTCTCTCCTCTTTTGCCTCTTCTCTAGAGAGGAGAATATGGGGAAATAGAAGATAAAACTTTTGAAAAGAGGAAGGAAAAAAAATTGCAAAGCAAGAAAACAGTGGTGTCTCCAGGACTTTTCATTTGGGAATTACTAAGCGAGGACTTCGAGGCTCCTCTCTGGCCTATGGCACAGGCGGATATGCAGGACCCTTCTTCTCTCCCAGGGGGGCAGCATGAGTGGTGGGTAGGGGGGAGCAAGCGTGCTCCCTGACAGGCCACTTTAGTTCTAGAGAATTGAAAGAGCCAATAAGCTCTTGAAGGTGGAAGTGGAGTTAGCGACTGAGGGCTGGCTTTACCCAGACTGCCCAGCCCACGGTAAAAAGGAGTTTGTGGTTTCTATGGAAACGTGGTCCAGGCACACACATTACATCTAGCTGAAGCCACGATTCTTCAGAAAGGTCCAGAAAGTGCCCGAAATACATGACATCAAACTGTACCAAGACTCACTTTAAGATGGCGGGACTTCCCCTTAAACCTGACACTAGTTTCTGTTCTCTGCCTCTCCAGGTCCCCTTCTAAAAGAGACTGCAGAGCTGGAATGGCAAGTACATTGAAATATCATCTCATCAGAAATGCAGTGTGGAGCTGACTGACCTTGGATTATGCTTCCTTCTATTGGGTGCCAGAAGGGAGGCTGTCCCCAACATGCCTGTACCTTATCCTGGGCCCAAGAGAACAAGTTCTGTGGCCGAACAATCATTTGAACTTTGACAGTATCATTAACGAAAACCAACAATTCATAGCTACCTTGCAGCACCAAAAATTCTCTATAATAGGACTCAGATCACTATCCATAAGGACTTTCAGTGGGTTCTGGAGAAATCAAAATATTCCCCTTGACCACCTGACCACCATCATCCATCTGTCCAGCCACAAGTGATCCAAAAGAGACCAACAGTATCCTTTCTTCAGCTGGCAGTCAACCTCCCTGCCCAGGGACGGACACGGGAGCCAATATCTCCTTCTCAACCCAACCCACAACCTCCTGTGAAAGCCCCGACTTCAAAATAGTCCTGCCATCCTCTGACAAGCTGGGAGGCTCATTCCTCTGCAGAGGATAAATGGCATCAATTCCAAAAGATTCGAAGAACAGCCTCTTTAAGAAGTTGCCATTTGGAAAAAATATTTAAGCAAAGCTGTGCTTGATGAAGTCAAATAGGATTAGCCGCTCCACTAGCACCGCCTTCTCAGATTCAGTCAAAGGCAGACCAGCTCATTCGCTTCCAAGTGGAACGAACTCAACAACAATATATCACAGTTAACTGTGATCACAGCTCCATGGAATTCCAGCTGGTACCTGGAGTACACGGAGGTGCACTTAGTATTCCCCCATCTATAATCAACCTTTTGTACATTTCTTCCTAATTGCCAGATATGTTTCCATTTTAATGAACTTTTTTCTTAACATATTACAGTTGGTCATTCCAGCACGCCTAATGGCCCATTTCGGTATGTTAAATGACGATTAGGGTCCTTTGGTTTGTTTCCCAGCAAGGCTTGGAGGGGGTTGGCTTTGTCCCTTCCCCATCGCTCAATTTCAAGGGCACAATCGCGAAAGATCAAAGGCAAAGTCATACCTGTTGCAGTCGACGTGGAGCAGGAGATGGGAGGCACTAACTGACAGTGCGACCTTGTGCCACTGTCCATCAGCCATCCGGTACGGAAGTGCCTCTGTCCTGGGCTTGCCGTTATGTATGTAGTGGTATCGAATCTCATCCCTCAGACCACTGCTCTCCAGTTCGAAATAGCTGTATGTAAAGAACAAAAATGTGTTTTATTTTACACAGCCATCATCAATCCTCATGACTTGCTACCAGGGTTCCCAGAATCTAAAATTAGCTCAGCTTGACCCAAAGAACCACAACCCACAATCGTACGGTATGGAACCCAATTCACCTTTTGTCTGAGAGCCCTCACGGTGACAGCTTGAAGCCCTGAAATGGAGACTGAATGATCCGCTGTGAGTGACAGGCCACAAGCTAATTAGCAAAGCTTGGTGCAGTGTCGCTTAAGCATAGTTCAGAATGGAAATAAACTGTCAGAGATGAGATGAGTAAGGCTTTTTTTTCTTTTTTTTTTTTACTTCCCTCTGGACAAGAAGCTATAAGTGAAGAACAGCTCTTAGATAATCAATTGGGGAGCAAAGTTTGAAGCTACTCACATATGTGTCAGTTTTTCAAAATTTCATGGAATGAAACATACAATTAAGTTTTTCTTTCCCCAGATTGTTACCTTCTTTTTCCAGATCCATGAAAAACTTTTAGCACCACCACTGTAGTCTGCACTTTCGTCATAAAAGGCAGCCAACTTTGGGACACTCCTCAGTCACACACCAGGGCTGATACTTTCATGGTTGGCAGGCCTACTTAGTCTCCTACGTGTCCCTTCTGAAATGTGTCACCATGATCATCATCAACACAGGGCCCAATCTCACTGACGAGCACTGCACTAGGTATTTGACATATACTATCTAATCTATCACTCACGAAAAACTGTAAGACTGATATTACCCCCTTTTGAAATATTAAAAAAAAAAAAAAAACTGAGATTCCGGAATTAAGTAACATACCCAAGCCAGGATTTAAACTCAGGTCTAGATGTGACAGTGTACGCACTTTATACCAGTTTGGTGCTCATCCCAGAGGCACAGGACAAAGTAGTAAAGATGGCCTCAACTGGCACTCTCTCCCAGCAGCTTACTCATACAGACAACTCAAGAACTACTCGCCTAGACAGATAACCCGGTTCAATCCCAAGATCTGCAAGGACCTACTGCTTCTCTAATCCGTTGAGTTGGCCTGGCCCCACTATCCCGGGCACATTTAATCCAGAACATAAAATGCATCTTCCATGAGGACTGAGATGAATATATCATGAAACTCAGCCTCTATTAGGCATAACTTCCAAATCTCACGTCACGTATGAAAACAAATGCACATTTCTTGCTCACCTTTCACAGAGATCTTCCCAAGAGAGCACCGCAGGGGAAGCAAAATCAAGACCAGCCTCTGACTATCTCATTTGCACTATACAAAGAATCAGGCCCAAGATGACAGATTGAAAATGTTACTTATACTATTGCAGCCGACTCCTGGGCCCAGGTACAAACTTACTAGTAATAATATAATACATATTTTTTAAGACTACTAAGGAGGAAATCCCTTAATATAGAAGACATTCATTTTAAGAGAATTTCCCAATTTTTTTCTAAGCAGCCAGAACACTGGAAGGATCGAACAATCAGAAGACTTAAAAGGTCAGGAAAACCTTAGAGATTATCTAGTCATTCATTAATTTTATTCGTATCATGACTGAACACATAGTGAAAAGCCAAGATAGGGTTTAAAATACAGATCCTGTTCTCAAGATGCTTTGAGAATAGTGAAAAAGGAAATAAAATATGTGCCCCTCCCTCCAAAAAAGCTAGAAATTGGCCTAAGAGAAACAAATGGGAGGCAAAGCTGTCATTTTAAAAGTGACTGGCGTGTGCTGGAAATGGGCCAAGTGCTTTCATAAACATCTCATTTAATTTCTTCAAGGTAAATATTATCATCACTATTTTACAGATGAGTTCACAGATGATCAGAGATATTAAGTACCTTGCCAGAGATCACACAGCTCCTGTATGGAAAAGCAGTAGGACCTGACACCTGAGACTGTACCAAGATCAACACATCATAAGAACACTTTCATCACTTCATTTTGACCAACAAGCTACTGCTAGGGGAAGAGACATGACCTTGAAAAGACCTCAATCAATGACAATCAAAAATACTCCAGATAACTTGAATCATAAAAAAAAAAGAAAGAAAAAGAGAGGCATATACATTTAACAAGATTTGATCATTATTCCTGGGGTTATGACCTCATTGAGCAAATGCTCAATGTATTATAAACAGATCTTTTAAAGATCATTTTGCAACAAATTGGAGTAAGTGGGTACCCTCGGGATAATCACAAATATACAGTTATGAGAAAACAAATGTGCCCTAATGTTAGGCAAATGGATACTTGTGTCTTGGGGTAAAGTATCTGACAGCATCATGCACATATACAAAAACTGCTGTGGCTCAAACAACTTGGATGAAAGTCAAGATGATGTGTTTAATTTAAAAAAAACAAACAAACATGTCAGAGTTGAGAACTGCTTACAGGTGACAGTAATTCCCCAGCATTTCTGGCCTGCAGACAGGGCCAAATCCTGTGGCCTGAGAATGCTCTCAGGCAATTAAAAAAAGAAAAAAAAAGGTTGGATAACTGCAGAAGTGGCCCTAGAGATGACAAAGAAACCAGATGGCTAAATGATATCTGGATAAAAGTGTTTCATGAGGGACTTCCCTGGTGGTGCAGTGGTTAAGAATCCACCTGCCAGTGCAGGAGACACGGGTTCGAGCCCTGGTCCGGGAAGATCCCACATGCCACAGAGCAACTAAGCCCGTGCGCCACAGCTACTGAGCCTGCGCTCTAGAGCCCATGAGCCACAATTACTGAAGCCCGCATGCCTAGAGCCCGTGCTCCACAAGAAGAGAAGCCACTGCAATGAGAAGCCTGCGCACCGTAACAAAGAGTAGTCCCCGCTCCCCGAAACTAGAGAAAGCCCGCAGACAGCAACGAAGACCCAATGCAGCCAAAAATAAATAAGTAAATAAATTTTTTTCTTTTTAAAAGTGTTTCATGAGTGCTGGGAAGGGAAAAAGGCAGGATTTCCAGGCAGTAACCCTCTGCTAATACAGACGTACGGCTTAGTCCTGAAAGCAACATGGAGGAGGCGGCCATTCGGCCTGACAGTGCTTGACTGTAGCCTAAAGGGTAGACCCATGATTTGTAGTAGAGCCTTGTTACTCAAGGATGGCCCACTGACCAGCTGTGGAAATTCAGCTTATGGGGCCCCAATCAAGACCCACGTGAGTCAGAATCTGCATTTCAATAAGATCCACAGATGATTCATGTACACATTAAAATTTAAGCAGCACTGTGGTAGACCACACTAGGTGTTGCTTTACTTCCTGCCCAACTAGTCATGGTGAGGAAGGAGATGTTATGGGCAAGTGAGTAAGAGCCATGTGGTGCTTGCAGGGAAAGGAAGGCCACTGGAAGAGATGGTAAGCCAGTGTCTAGTGAGCTCTCTGCCCCGAACAGTCCTCTCTCTTCAGGCCTCAAATGCTTTAGGGTCCTCCCGGGAGTTTGCAGGAAAGGGCAGCTGTATGGGTGATAACGTTACCAGCCAGATTTTGTGAGCAGCAATTCTCCCTTTAGCCTGGGACCTCAGCCAAGTGTGCTGTTCTACTGAACTGTCTTGGCTCCCAGAAAAACCTGTGCATCCTTCAAATATTTGAAAACAGCAATGATAGTCACTACAAAGTGTTCTCTTTCAGACCAAGCATCCCCAGCTCTCTCTTTTATACTCCTGTCCCCCACCCAGACCGAGTCCTTCCTGGTCAAGGATGCTGTCTTAACTACTCTTTGCAGATCCTTCCCCAACTTGGTCACCACGATCTAGGTATGGTAAAATGGATCAGCTTCCGCCGTAAATACAGCATCCAGGAATAAAGACTCCTCCTCTGGGCTGTACACAGCTCTGACTGCATCCTAATGCTGACACTGACTTCCAAACATCTAATACTACAAGTCCTTTGATACAAGATGCTATGAGGGTGAATCATTCCCATCCTGTATTTACATAGCTCAATTTTTTTCAACCTAAGGCCTTGCTTAAGTGCTAGGCAGACCCTAACCAGAATCAGCATGAATAATTCTCCAAAGCCCACCCTTGAGTATTAAAAACAAGGTTACTATGAACTGAAGTCAAATTTCACAAGACTGCCTGAATCCCATGCTATATTCATAAATAAAATTTAGGAACAATAATTCCAAATGACATAAATAGATTAAGATTAACAAAGTTATTTTTATTAAAATATTAGGCATTTTCCTGAAAACTTATACCAAGGAATCCATTTCTTGAGAATATTAGATAGACCGACAAGATAACTAGACACTCTCAAAATGCTGAAGTGGTTATTGCTGGATGAATGTGTTTCTTCCATATACTAGGATGAAAACAGCAAAGGTTAATTTAAAAGTGGTATCAAGAAATTCCCTGGCGGTCCAGTGGTTAAGACTCAGTGCTTTCACTGCCGTGGGTCCAGGTTCGATCCCTGGTCGGGGAACTAAGATCCCAGAAGCCTAGTGGCGCAACTAAATAAATGAATAAAAAAACAAAATAAAATGGTATCCAGTGCTAATTCATTAGTAAAGACAAAAAGTTTCTAAGAAAAAGTCTCTTTTCCAGCGATTCCACAAGGATACATATTGACTATTGGAGAAATAACTAACACCCCCAAAGAGCTCCAGAGTCACTGTAGCACTGGCTTACTTTCCAACAGCTCTCCTGTGCCCCTGAACAACCACCTCCTGGAAGTCTGGGTGGGGCGGTCACGGCAAAATGGATTTGGGAAACAAGGCCACTCCTACCCAGTGTGTGTCCCTGGCACGGTTACTGAGACAGGGAAAAAGCCAGGCAGGCCACTACCTACTTTCTGTAAAGGGAAACAAATCATCACAGGTATAGGGAGCACCTGTGTGGACCATTCCCCCAAATGCGGAAAAATACCAAAGATGATTAAAAGAAACATTTCCGAGCATATGGTCTAGAATTTTGTAGGACCTCAGGAAAGGTTAATTCTACCTTTAACAATATAGCTAATATTTATTTAATAATAACCAAGCAAGACTCTTGGTCATATAT